GCCTAGCAGTTTTTCTCAAACCAAAAATCAGTCTTCTAAAATAGTCAAGTTCTTTACTATACACGAACCATTAAAATGCTTTAAAATTTGGAGGCTCCGGGCTGGCTCGGTCGGTGGAAGAGTGGGACTCTTGATCTCAGGGTCATGAGTTCAAGCCCCATATTGGGTGTGGAGATTACTTAAAACTAAGATCTTAAGGGGAGGGGTGCCTGGGTGGCTCAGTCGGTTGAGCATTTGACTTAGACTCAGGTCATTAACTACTGGTTCGTGAGTTCGTGTCCCACATCAGGCTCTGTGTGGACAAGCTCAGAGCCTGGAGTTTGCTTCGGATTCTGTGTCTCCCTTTCTCTGTTCCTCCCCCACTTGCACTCTCTCTCTCTCTCTCTCAAAAATAAACATTAAAAAAAAAAAAAGTCTTAAGGGGAGCCTGGATGGCTCAGTTGGTTAAGCATCTGACTCTTGGTTTCGGCTCTGGTCACGATCTCACGGTTCGTGAGATTGAGCCCCACGTTGGGATCCCTGCTGACAGAACAGAGCCTGCTTAGGATTCTCTCTCTCCACCCCTCCTCCATTCTCTCAAAATTAATAAACGTTAAAAAAATAAAACCCTTTACAAAAGGCTACGAAATTATGTTAAAATAAGTTTAATGAATCTATTTTATCACCGAAATAAAATAAAAAGCAAGTTGGTGACAGTGTAATGTCATTGATTCATCTCACCTATCAAAACTGAGTTCCTATTTAAAGAGTAAAGCCCTTTAATAACAGACACACGAGCTGGTGCCAGTCTTCGGGCCACTAGTTAGAAAACACTGACAAAGCAATGAATCAGTATCTGGGCATCTCCCACACTTGGTCCAGAAACCAACAGAACCTTCTCTCTGGCTTTTACCAAATCCACCACTGCCGGCTGACTAACAGGAAGACCAAGTGGATAAAAAGATGGAGACAAGTTCATTAAAATCTCGGGCACACAAATGCCATGCCCGACACTGACAAACACTGACAGTTAAGGAAAGTGCAAAAGGTTGAGAGGGATGTGCAAAAAGTGAAGAGAGCCAGGGGTCACTCCAAACTGAAAACAACGAAGGCGTGGGAAGGCGCTCAGAAATCAGGCTCCCGGGGCTAACAAGCACAAAAAGGACACCTGACCCCCGTGTCACATATATATTTAAAACAAAATCAGATGGCACAAAAACAGACACATAGACCAATGGAATAGAATAGAAACCCCAGAACTAGACCCACAAACGTATGGCCAACTCATCTTTGACAAAGCAGGAAAGAACATCCAATGGAAAAAAGACAGTCTCTTTAACAAATGGTGCTGGGAGAAGACAGCAACAGGTGAAGGTTAGAAACTAGACCACTTTCACACCATTCACAAAAAAATAAAACTCAAAATGGATAAAGGACCTGGACGTGACAGGAAACCATCAAAACCTTAGAGGAGAAAGCAGGAAAGACCTCTCCAGACCTCCTCGTAGCCGTAGAAGGCACTTAATACATCCTCAAAGGCAAGGGAATTAAAAGCAAAAAGTGAATTACTGGGACCTTATAAAAGATAAAAGTCATAAAGGAAACAACCAACAAAAAAACTAAAAGGCAAACTAACGGAATGGGAAAGATATTTGCAAATGACATATCGGACAAAGGGCTAGTATCCAAAATCTATAAAGAGCCCACCAAACTCAATAACTAAAAAGCAAATAACAACCCAGTGAAGAAATGGGCAGAAAACATGAATAATAGTATTTGAAGAAGACATCCGATACAACAGGCACATGAAAAGATGTTCACGTCAAGCCCTGTCAGGGAAATACAAATCAAAAACCACACTCAGGTATCACAATTCCTCACGCCGAGTGGGCCAAAGTTGAAACAACTGTGGGGAGACTATAGATGCTGGAGAGGATGTGGAGAAACGGAACCCTCTGCACTGTTGGTGGAATGCAAATTACATGGTGGCAGCCTTCCGGGAAAAAAAAGCAGGTGGAGGTTCCTCAGAAAATTAAAATAGACTCATCTCTATGAATTCAGCAATAGCACTACAGGAATTTATCCATGGGACACAGGAGTATTGATGCAATAGGGCACTTGTACACGTTCATAGCAGCACTCAACACAAAATACAAAATTATGAAAGAGCCTAAATGTCCATCAACTGATGAATGGATAAAGAAATTGGTGGCTGCACACAATGGAATAAATACGCGGGCAAATTTATAAAATGAAATATGGCCTTTTTGTAGCAAACGATGAACTGGAGAGTGTGGAGCTAAGTGAAATAAGCTATACAGAGAAAGACAGATACCATATGGTTTCACTCTTATGTGATCCTGAGAAACTTAACAGGAACCCATGGGGAGGGAAGAAAAAAAAAAGAGGTTAGAGTGGGGAGAGAGCCAAAGCATAAGAGACCTGTTAGAGAACCGAGAAATCACATGGGCTGATGGGGGGTGGGAGGGAAGAGAGGTGGTGATGGGCATTGAGGAGGGTACCTTTGGGATGAGCACTGGTGCGTTGTATGGAAACCAATTTGACAATAAATTTCATATATAAATAAAAAAAAAAAAATCAGAATACAGTAAGTTCTGGTTCTAACAATGCGGAGAGTGTTGCTGACAATCATATATGGACGGGAGCATTAGGACTAAATAGGTGTGTATTACTATTAGAACAAGGGAAAAAAATACGTCTCATAAAATAAGCATAATTAGCAGTTTGCCCAAATATGGCACCCCAAACCATAAAAATGTTACGATCCCAGTCTATAAAAGAGAATGTGAATAAATACAATATACGTACATTTTAGAAAAAAACAGTTAAAAGGAACAACTCCAAAATTAACCCACCACTGGGTGGTAGGTCATCGAGTAATTTTAATTTTCTTTCCCTAGGATTCCTGTTACTTTTAGAGTCATAACAATGGACTGTCTTAAAATCCTGTGGTGCTCTAGACTGCACTGTAGGTCAAATTCAAGTAAACAGCGCCTGCCCCTTTCTCAGTTACCTGGATAAGTTGCTGATGAGCCACGTTGCCACAGAAGAAAGTCTGCTGATCATCCACGAAACCCATCAGTTCGGTTTCCTCCACCTCCTCTCCGTTCAACATGAGAACTCTGCGGCAGAAGGGAAGGCCCAGGTCAGCCGGCCTGGCTTCCCCACCTTGCACCCTTCACAGGAGCACCTGGAGCTGGCATCAGACTCACCCTTACCTTGTCTGGCCCACAAAAGAGAGCACCAGAGTGTCATCAGTCTCCCGGTTAGGATCAGACCGCAGCGGCCACAGACCTGGAACAAAGATCAAGGAGTAAGATTCAGAGCACAGCCCAACACTCGGCTCCCCACATCTAAGGAAGGGCAGCCTGGCCCCAAGGAGCGGGAACTTTGTGGAGTCCGTCCTAAAGCTGAAATACCCACTCTGTTCTTTCCTGGCTTTAAGACCCTGAAGAAGTTATTTTTAAAACTGTTTTGAGCCTAATATTTTTAAGTTTTTCCTTTAATTTGGAAGAGGAGAATACATTTCCATGACTCAAAATCAAAATCTGTTCTTAAAATGTGTACACAGAGGTTCCATTCCTATACCTCTCCCTGAAACCTATCTGCCAAATAAGTCATCAATAGTCTCTTGTTTATTCTTCAAAAAGAAAAAGAATTTATAAGGAAATTGGCAGTATTTTACAAGCAAATACAAATACAAGAGATGTCTGGCTGTCTCAGTCCGTGGAGCATGCAGCTTCTTGATCTCAGGGTTGTGGGTTCGAGCCCCATATTGGGTGTCGAGATTACTTAAAAATAAAACCTTAAGAAATATGTACGTACATATGTATGTACATACATACGCACATACGTATACACACATAAATATACATACATATACACACATATATACACATATACACACACACACACACATACGTATACACATACACACACACACACACACACACACACACACACACACACAAAACAGCCTATCATACACTGTTTGGCACCATACTTTTCCGCTTTGTATTAAGCCCTTATCAAAACTGAACAGTACTTTGTCTTTAACAGGTGCACAGCATTATACAGACACACCAGTTTATTATTAAGTCTTATCTGATGGACACTTTTTCAGTATTTTGCACACAATGCCACAACAAATGATCTTGTATTTATGTCATTCCGTACATACGAAGGTCTATGGGATAGATTCCTAGAAACAGGATTGTCTATAAATCATTAAATGCATGTGTAGTTTTGGCAACATTACCAATAAGCATGCTAATTTCCTCACAGCCTCACCAACAGTGTTGTCAAACTTTTGGATTCTGGTCACCTGGTGAAGAATGGTATTGCTACTCAGTTCGGATTTGCACTTCCCTTATTACAAGTAAGGTCCATTACCCATCTATGTGTGTTCTACAATTTGGGGACAGGAATTTTTGGTGATCCCCTTTATAGAAATGTTTGGATAAATTAGGGAGGTTAGGCCTTTGTCTATAAGGTGAAGTACAAACATTTTTATCTGGTGTGCCATTTCTCATGACTTAACCTTACAGAGCTTGGTTTCTGCCATGCAGAAGTGTTTTACTTTTATGTTGCTGAATTAACCAATCATTCCCTTTGCTTCTGTACTGGAGTCATATTTTAAAAGACCTTCCCCACTAAATTATAAAGGGGGGGTACCTAGGTGGCTCAGTCGGTTAAGGGTCTGACCCTTGACTTCGGCTCAGGTCACGATTTCACGGTTCCTGAATTCAAGCCCCACATCAGCTCTGCACTGACAGAGTGGAGCCTGTTTGGGATTTTGTCTCCCGCTTGCTACCTCTCTTTCAAAACAAATAAAAATTTAAAAAAAATAATAAAACAAATAAAATTATAAAAGAATTCAACTTTTTCTTTTAACTTTTCTATACCAGTTTTTAAAAAAATTTTTTTTTCAACGTTTATTTATTTTTGGGACAGAGAGAGACAGAGCATGAACGGGGGAGGGGCAGAGAGAGAGGGAGACACAGAATCGGAAACAGGCTCCAGGCTCTGAGCCATCAGCCCAGAGCCTGACGCGGGGCTTGAACTCCCGGACCGCGAGATCGTGACCTGGCTGAAGTCGGACGCTTAACCGACTGCACCACCCAGGCGCCCCTCTATAGCCGTTTTTTAAAAAAGAAATTTTTATGTTTATTTATTTTTGTACAGTCTCCTTTTTACATGAAGTCTGATCCATGTGGATTCTAGTAAGGTATACAAAGTACAGAACAGATCCAAACTCATCTTTCCCCAGTTGATGACTGGGAACACCATTTATTAAAAACCATTCATAAAAGAATCATCTTGGGGCATCTGGGTGGCTCAGTTGGTTGAGTGTCCGACTTGGACTCCGATCATGATCTCACAGCTCGTGGGGCTCACTGCTGTCAGCACACGGCCCACTTAGGATCCCCCGTCCTCCTCTCTCTCTGCCCCTCCCCTGCCAGTGCTATCTCCAACGTAAATAAACATAAGAAATCATCTTTGGGGCCCGTGGGTGCCTCAGCTGGTTGAGTGTCCAACTCTTGATTTCGGCTCAGGTCATGGTCTTACAGGTTGTGAGATTGAGCCCCTGGTCAGGCTCCGTGCCGACAGCACAGCACCTGCTTGGGATTGTCTCCCTCTCTCTTTGTCCCTCCCCAACGCATGTGTGATCTCTCTCTCTCTCTCTCTCAAATAAACTTAAAAAAAAATCATCTCTAGCTCACTGAACTGAGACACCACCATTGTATACTTAATTCCCACATGTAACTGTGTCTATTTCTGGACTTTTTTTAAATTTTTGGATGTTTGAGTTTTTTTAATTTCGGGAGTTTTGCTCAAGGAACCCTGCCTGTTAGTGCACCGAAACCACACTTTTATTCACTGAGGTTTAATGGCACATTTTAGTATCTGGTAGGGCTAGTCCCATCTCCTGGCTTTTCTTGCTTCTCCCTTTTTCCATTTGGACCTTGGATTATCTAGGTCAAGAAAAAAAACAAAAACAAAAACAAAAACCCCTGATATTTTTATTGAGATACATGAAATATAAAAATAGGTCAAGGACTACTTTACAATTTCATTTATAGCACGTTGGCATGTCTTTTTTTCATCTGACCAAGCTATCCTTTGAACCTTTAAGGAGTATTTTAATGTTTTCCCTGTAGAAGTTTCGCACACTTTTTATAAAGTTTATTCCTTGGTATTTTGCCTTTTTACTGCTATTGTAAATTGGCTCCTTCCCTCCACTGTACCTTCGAATGGACTGTGTTTTCACATGAAAGCTATTAACTTTAGTACATTAATTTTATATCCTACTACCTTAATGAATCGTTGTGTAGTTTTCCAGTCAATTCTCCGGGTTTTGTAGTTTTATGATCTCTTCCTTTCTAACTCATAAACCTCTATTTATTTATCCGTTTCCATCCTCTTATTTAACAGTCTAAATAACTTTTTTTCTGATGTGTCTCTCTCTCTATGTATATATCTTTGGTTTTGCTTTATGATTCAATCTGATCGTCTTTCTCCTTTAATAGGTGAGTTTTAACCAATTCACATTTACTTAACATGACATATCAGATTTTTCAGACACCCATGCAGATGTATAGCTGTTCTGTCATATTACCCTGGGTCACTATAGGTCATCTACTACCTATATATCATAAAAGCCTTTCACTATATAGTCTTTCTTTGATCTTATTATAGTTCTCCCGGAATTTAGGTTTTTACTTTTGTTCTAGAAGTTCCCTTTACACTAACTATATACACTTGTATGTGATATTCTCAGTCTCCTCTTTTTTCAGGGATTCTGTTAGTTCCCTTGTAGAAACGTTCAATTTAACTTAGAAACTTTTCCATTTCTCTACTCCATTATCCAATTTTGGTCAATAATATATATTTTCAAGTTTACTTTGGCACTTATAAATTCTACCACTGATTTGTCTTTTCCATTTTTTTTTTTAATTCTTCATCTGACCTGCTTTCCTCTAGCTCCCACCCAAGTGCCTTCACAACTCATAATGAGACCAAAGATCAAGGTCACTCAAGTAAGATTTGCACCCTACATCCACCAAAAGGTTACCTTTGATGCCTGGTAAGTCAATGCTGGCATGCTCGTGGATTCCAATTCCATTTCGGATGATCCGCAAGGAACCTTCCTTGAAAGCCCCAGAGCAAGTAACCAGCTGCAAATAGAGAAAGTGTTTCTAAATACCTCCTCACAAGCCTGGGGCCATCATACTGATGCCCGGAAAGTAAACCTAATGACCCTTCCAGTGGAGCTAAGTTTGAGGATGCAGACTTGGCAGAGGCTGATGTCCAAGTCCCTCAAATTTTCCAAGCAGACAGGACATTCTAGTCCAAGAAGCAAAAAGCAACTACCACTGCTCCTAGCAAGGTGGCTTCCATCATTGGAACCTAGAGTGTACTAGAAAGAACACAGGATCTAGACTCAGACACACCTGCCATTTGGGGGTTATGGGACCTTGGACAAGTTCCTTGATCTTTCTCAGTCCCAAGTCTCCTCACTTCTGAAACAGCCAAGAATTCCTATCTAATAGGGTGTCGTGTGATCACAGATAATGTAGATCTGTATCACCGACCTAGCGATGCACTCAACAAATGGTAGTTATCCTTGCGTCGTCGTTAGTGAGCAAGGCTCTTAAAACTTCTCTTCAGTGCGCACACCCCACTCCGGATAGGCAAGTCTAGAAGAGCACAGTTTGAGCGAACATATCAACCATCCATTTCTAGGATGACCCTCTTACCTGTCCCTGCCCCTGTCTCTCCAGGTCCACCACGCACATGTCCACAATGGGTCCCAAATTAGTAAAGGTTTCCATGGCCACTACATAGGAGCCTTGTTCGTTGCTGTCAACATTGAGCTAACAAGAAAAAACAAGGTTAGTCCTGGAATGCCGCTAAGAGATCCACCCTAAAGAGACGGTTATCATCCAAGAGAAACTCTGAATCCTACAAGATCTGCCCTTCTTGTACTCCACTGGATGCTTCTAGAAGGGGATTATCGACTAAGGAACATGGTTAACTTCTAGAAGACCCACGAACCAGTGAGGGATTTCTAATCTGTGAGTCCCATGGATGGATTTCAAAGAAGCAGTTTGGAAATTAATGTAAAACGTTTGCATGTATTTCTCTGCAGAGAAATCCAAAGTTTTCACACTCCAGAGGTGATCTGGCACAATACACTATGACCTCTTTGAAGGTAGGAGCTGGGTCTTGTTTCATCATTGCATCCACTCTGCCCAGCACCTTGCCTGGCACATCTGTTGAATGAACCTTTAAGACAAAGAGCTAGTCAGGGTAGGAAGGGAAATCGACCGAGGAGACAGCTGCATAGTATGGAAACAGATGAAATGAAGAAATTCAGAGGTTCCAAACACAGGAGAAACGTGACAAAGAAGCAGTGAAGATGGCGAAAAAGCCAGAAAGAAGAAAGTATCTTCTCACCTTCACAAGCTGGGAGTCACCGAGGCGAGACCCAACGAACACAACACCATTATCGAGGTATGTCAAACATTCGGCGATAGAGGTCTAGAAGAAAGTCAGTGGCATGAAAGGCGTCAGAATGGACACTCCCTGGGAGCCCGACACTGTCCTACCACTGTCCTCTCACCTCTCAGAGGTCTGCTAAGAAAACAAACAGCTGCAGCCACGAGTCCCAAAACAATTCTCCATTTCAAATCCCCAGACCGCACTAAACAAATGTTCCTAAGTCTCTGAAGTTTGTGACTCCATGTATCATATCCTTACAGTCAGAAAAATCTATTCTTTCTCTTGCAGGTGCCTCCTCCGAATGATCATCTTAATACCAATGGCTCCAGTCTGCTCCTTAACTTTTTTGGGACCCTCCCCTGGAATGGAGTATTAGCGTTAGGTTAATCTTCCATTCTGAATGGTATCCTTTCCATTTCTCTCCCTTTGTGTGCTTGACGTAGAGCACGGCTGCCTACGAGATTCTCCAACATCTAACTCATTTGAAAACCAACTTCCGCAGCAGGACTGACCACGTGTCGCTAGGTGGTACGTAACACAGTTCCCAGTCACAGTGTGAGACCACACATCTAGGGTCACTAGGGCGCTAGCAGAAGACAGCAGAGCAGGGACCAGCCCGACCTCTCCAAGGAGCTCCACGCGGAGATCTTTGAGGGTGACGGTGCCGTCCATCTGCTCCTCCTTCTCCAAGAGCAGCATAAAGAGCCGTCCTTCCATGTCTCCCAGCAGATAGCGGGAACCATTGGGGTCCACACGATTGTGACACACGATCGTGCTTTGCTGCCAAGAGGGAAGACATGGTCGTTAGAGATTAAGTGTCTCCCATAACCAGAGAGCAAACCCTCGTGAACCACTCCCTTTACCAAGCCCAGCCATTTCACAGGCAAGGAATCCACTTAGCAAACGCTACGTGTGTGATTAAAAATGGGGACATTTTTACTCTGAAGACGATTTTCTGAGGAACTCAATATACCTGTAATGTTTTTTCACAGATTATCCTACTGGGAAATAGAAATACACAGAAAATAGGAAGCAGCTGTAAGTGTTCACTGGACTATGAACACTACCACAGATTTTGTTACTTACCGTCACGACTACGAATTCCTCCCACTGCTAACGCTACCATAGACTATGTCATTTGCCCTTTAACTTAATATTCTAATTCTTATGACTTGAAACACTGAGATTTGAAACTTTTGTGACCAATTTTTTTAAGTCTGTACAACTGATCACTCTATGACCCTCACATGACTTGAGCTCTGAGAACATTTAATCAAATCTGCAAAATCCTTCCCTTCGTAAAGTCGCCCCAGTAGACGGGAAGAGTAAGCCTCCTTCGATTACTACTTCTTTCTCTCGGCTAGTGGGCAAGCTCTCCGTAAGCAAAACCAGGCCAGTCTCTCTTTGTATTCCCAATGCCCCACACAGTATCTTACGCACATAGTAAACGCTAGGACAGACATCTAGAAATTTCTCTTTACAAATGGGGAGAAACAAAGGAGCAGGGTAAGAACAAGGGCAAAAAAAAAAAAAAAAAAACAGAGAAGGAAGGAAAAGTAAAAGAGTGCTGCTCACCTTGATGATAGGAGGGGCAATCGCCAGGTATTTGTCACCGTTGTGATAGGTGATCGACTCCTGTCCAATGATGATGGCCCCTCCAAAGGGCTCTGGGACTGCAGGGGAAAGGACAGCGTTAGAACGCTCAGTACTCCAGACCTGCCAAGCCCTGTAGCGTCAAGGGCACTGATCCAGCCACCTCTGGGGCAAACCTTCAGGAAATCATTATTTTTAAAAAGACAACCGAGTCCAAGGAACGTGGCGGCCTTTAACTGACGCTGCTGTCTGGGAAATGTCAGGCTGGCATCACCTAACCCTGTATTTTTATCGTCACTCTTCCGGTGTTTCCGAGCCCCTACGGGTGGGGCGTCTTCTCCGTGCTCTTCCACCTGCACCCTCCCCCTTTCTCTCCTCAACTTTGATCTCTCGAACTCAAAACGGTTATTCTTTTTCCCGTTCCTTAGCTTACTTTCCCCCGTTATCAGGGCCACCATTTAGAAAAGCCAATTCTCACTTGAGAGTTCTAAAATTTCTCTCCTAAGCGAGACACATAACATGATGTTGAGGGCAGGATATGGGACAAGGAGCACAGAGGCCTGGAGTCAGGCCGAGGCTTTGTCAGCGAGGCACAGGCACGGGCAAGCCCCGTGGCCCAGGCATCCCCATCTGTGAAAGACTCAGATTAGATAAGCTCCACAGGCCACCCCGCCTCGGTTTTTCAACGTTATGCCCAGCAATGAAATAATGAGAGTAATTTCTACACGCCACTCTGCAAATCAATCTCAGTACTTAACCCCGCCGCCCCAAATAAAGGAAAGCTGTACTTTCTGGGAGGAGTAAAAAACAGACAATCCCAAAAACAAAAATGGGAAAAGCAAAGAAAAGCACATTTAGAAAACAGGAGACGTCAGGGCTGCTGAGTAATGCACGTGTATAATAGCATCTGAGCCTGGAAATGAAGGTGCAGAGAAGGTGAGGAAGGAGCAAGAGTAGGGAACAGACCCAGACCCGGGGGGGCAGGGGGCACATTTCCAAAACCCCAACCAACCTGCAATCACCATGGAAGCCTCAGCTTCTACGTTTTCCTGTTTCCAAGGGCCCTTATTGAACTCCTTCTCTCGGAGAGACACCTCATAGGTTTTCACATGCCGCCCCTGAGGGTCCTAGGTAGGGGAAAGGTGGAGTGGTTAGCCCCAACGAAGGGTGAACCCTGGACTGGAGTCCTGAAAGGGACAGGCCATACCCACCCAGCATCTGACCATCCTATCACGTTGGCCTTACTACCCTGACCCATCCATATGCTGACAGCCACCAACTAAGCCTGTGACTGGGTAGGCTGAGACCCAGACCTGTTTCTAACAACTCAACCAACCAAGACAGGCTTCAGAATTAGAAAAATCAATGTGGCACGCTATACCGATCACCGTAAGAAATACAACATACACGTGTATATTCACGGGTGTGTCTAAGACATACGTTATGTCCTAGAGTCCTTGGTCTCAAGGAACTTACTATATTGAGAAGCTAAATACGTCTAAGAGATTAAAAACTTTATCTGAGGGGCGCCTGGCTGGCTCGGTCCGTGGAGCATGCAATTCTTGACATCGGGGTCGTGAGTTCGAGCCCCAAACTGGGTATAGAGATCACTTAAAAAAAAAAAAAAAAGATACAATTCTTAAGCACATTCTGCAGGGGTGATGGGAGTGAGAACAGAACACAACACTACTCTACAAGGAGGTTTTAGCTAAGACCTCCAGTCCTGCCTTTGTCAACACCTTCCCCTGCTTCTCCTGAATCCTGACTCACATCAGTCCTAGGGCCATCAAAGTCACCTTTGAGACTAGAAGAGCAGGGACAGGGAGGCTACAATCGGCCAGTGGGAGATGGCATCAACAAAGGCCAGATGGAAGTCTAAGAAGTTATGGAAAGAATTCCACAATGTGTTTCGGGGCAGGGGCCACATCTTAATCGCTGCTAATAGCTCCTGACACACTTAGAATGACTACCTTTCAACGGGCAAGTCCCTAAATGTTTCCCAAGTTGAATTTTTGGCACAAAACAGGAGATAGTGGTTTTTAGTTGAGGAAAGCTCTTCCCGTCAATGACAGGGGTAAGACTGAACTTCATGAAAAGTTCAAGCTGGGGTTTGCATTTGGACCCCTGAGACACATACAGAAACGAAGATCTTTCACAACTGGCAGCCCTGAGGCTAGGAACAGACAGAATCAGCCTTGAATAACCAACATCAATGTTTTAATGACCTGGTAATTTACAAAACTGTACACGAGAGAGAAATTCTTAAGTTTTTATTTCAGCTTCAGTAGTGAACTGTGAGCAAGATCAAACAAAATCTCCTAAAGTCGTTTCAACCTCATTCAACTGAACTTCATTCCGACCAGCCTCTGAACTCTAGCACTTAGGGGGACACTAAAGAATACGCAAAAACAATCAGTGTTTCCGAAGCTTAACACAGCTATCGAACGTGCCCACGTGTCTCTCTCAGGACTCAGACTAGGTTTCCCTCCACCATTGATTCAACCACATGCAAGCGAAATGACCTCATGCTATCTGGCTCTTTGTTAAAAGGCGGAGATTTTTCTAAGATACAGGCAAGTGAGCCTGGTGTTCTGCCACCCCGCCCCCACTTAACAAATCTGGCTCAGAGAACAGCTGCCCAGGATCAGCGCGGCTAAAGTTTGAGGCACAGACCAAAATAGAAGTCAACAGCCAACAAGTCACCAGAAAGTGAGGGCTGGACAAAATGCAAACCTCTTCTTAGAAGACGTAGATAAGACATCGCCAAGATGATTTTTCTTTTGCTTATAGGGGCAATTTCTAGATCACTGCTCTACAGCTAAGTTTTAATAATCCCCTAGCATGCCGGTAAGAGACTCAGACAAAGTATAAACTGGGTCACCCTATAAAATCTCCAAGGTCCACAAGAATGTAATCTCAGGATTAAAACCTGCTACCAGCCCCAGAGAGCTTCCTGCCTCATTAAGTACTGCTGCGCTCAAGACGCAATCAAATTCTGACCCATATTAATCATACCATTCAAAACATTTAAGGACAAATACGTTCAACTCTCTGCCTGCCCTACTGCCAAATCCAGACATTCCAATTAGCGGAAAGCGACTCCCACTGTGCAAAACCACACCGCTTCCCCCTCTCTCCTCCAGCTCCAGTACCTGGTAGACAAAGCAGATGGTAGGTGCTTGGCAACCATATAAGAACTTGACGTCGATGACATGCAACTCCTCGAGGCGAATGTTAAAGGCCTTGAGCTCTTTATTGTCCCGGTCTAGCGGAATAACCTTGAAAAGGCCATCATAGAGTCGCAGGCCGATCATGCGGCACTCGGGGTCAATAATGCCAATGATGCCAGTCTCTGAGGGGCGGCCAATACGGTCCTAAGAAGTAAAACTGGGGTTAGGAGGGGCGCCTGGGTGGCTGAGTCGGTTAAGCCTCTGACTTCAGCTCAGGTCACGATCTCACAGTTCGTGGGTTCGAGCCCCGTGTCGGGCTCTGTGCTGACAGCTCAGAGCCTGGAGCCTGCTTCAGATCCTGCGTCTCCCTCTCTCTCTGCCCCTCCCCTGCTCGCGCTCTGTCTCTCTCTCAAAAAAATAAAATTAAAAAAACTGAGGTTAGGGAAGAACCTCAACACTCAGGGTAACAGAGGATACCAGGCACCTCCTCCCCAAGGTGACTTTAGGGGTAGCAGTAAAACCAGCGGCGTCTACTGGCCATGCCAGCGAGCCCACGTCAGTGCGTGCCTTTTCGCAGAACACTGAATCTCAATGAATTAGTACCCTGTCCCTTGGACTCTTCCTTTCTTCATAAAAGCTCAAACCCTTAGGACGTTCTCTTTGTTTCTCTGATCACAGTGAGAGCTGCCCCCAGCAGCTCAATTTTCTCCATCAAATCATGACAGCTCTACCCAAAAAACTCTCATCAGCCTAAAGCAGCCACCTCACCTGGACATTGCCATGGGCTCGTGTTATGATATCAATGCTCTCGCCGCTCTGCTTGTACTCCAGGATGCAGGCATTGTACTTAGCTGTCAGGATAAACAGGAGGTCCTTGCTCTCCCCCTGGAAACCAACATGATACCATTAAAAGAGGTTCTTTAAAAAAAAATTTATTTTTAATTTTTTTTAGTTTATTTCTGACAGAGAGAGAGAGAGAGAGAGCAAGCGAGAGAGTGTGCGAGAGTGAGCATGAGCAGGAAAGGGGCAGAGAGAGACGGAGACGCAGAATCTGAAGCAGACTCCAGGCTCTCAGCTGTCAGCACAGAGCCCAAACGTGGGGCTCAAACTCATGAACCACAAGATCATAACCTGAGCCAAAGTCGGCCACTTAACCGACTGAGCCACCCAGGCGCCCCTAAAAGAGGTTCCTGTTAAAACAAAAATAGCTGTCCAGCCTTTAAGCCTCTGTCTTCAAGCATGCTAAGTTCTAGAAGAACTTTCTTTTCTCCCTGAAGAGAAAAATCCCAGTGAATAGGTAACACACATCAGGTACACACACCCTAAGGGTGTGTGCAACAGGCCAGAACTAAAGCAGGTAAACATCTGGGCTTCACTTTGATGACTGTACTTGTCTCTGCCCTACCCACAGTAATGTCTTGTCTATTTCCATCTCAAGCTAATCTCTCATTCCATTCAAATTCTCCAAGATGAATGCAATGCCTCCTCTAATCCTCTCCCAACTATTCGAAGAGGGAAAAACATGTGAATAACGATGAGAGCTAAAATGGATCTACAAAGTCTTACTTACTTATTAACAGAGACCCCAAAAGACTGAATATTTTGTTCCAAGGATTACAGTTGAAATTTTGAACCCACTGCTTTCTTGTCAGAGTCAGGATACAATGAAGCAACACAGATGAAAGCATTTGAGTTACAATGATGAGGATAATACTATGATAATTGTTAGTGTAACAGTAAATGCTTGCCATGTAATAGCTCCTATTATTATAACATTTCCTCTTCACAGTAATCCAGGAGATTTCATGTCGTTATCCCCACTCTGCACACAAGCCAATAAGGCTCTGAGGCTCTGAAAGGTTAGGTGACATCCAAAGTTAGAATCAATAAGGAATAAAACCAGGATGGCCCTCATCAAGAGCCTACTCTCTGAATCAGTATGGTGACCCACATTTCAAACCACTGTAGTCTCCCCTTCTAGAGAAGTCAACCTGACTTTTTTCCTAGTGACCCTGTTCTATATCTAGGAAGCTTGTTCAATAATATAAATTGAAACGTGCCATCCAAAAAAAAAGAGAGAGAGAGAGAGAGAGAGAAAGAGAGAGAGAGAGAGACTTCTCTCCTAAACCCCATTCCACCCATCCCAAGCCATAGTGAAACCATCCACACAACAGTTCTTGTTGCTGGGCCCAACCCAGAGCACTTACCTTGGGCCTGAAAAGCTCCATGACAGCAATCTTCCCATACATGCCCACCTCTTTGACGGGCCGAAGCCCCTCAGCAGTGACCACATAGATCTCTAATCTCGTGTTTTTGGCAATCAACAGGTTCAGGTCTTCGGCTGATGTAAAGTGTCCTGAAAGGAACAGATCCTCTAACTTTTGACGCCAGAGCAGTATCTAAATAATCCTATCACTTGTCCTTAAGTACCCCCAGAATTCACATTTATTTCAGAGTTCTCTGGCTCCCTCCATTCACTTCCTTCTTGCCAAATCCAGCACCTCAGGGAGTCTCACTTCATACATTCAAGAGAGCTACTTCCCTAATCAGACTAAGAAAACTGGCCTGGGCCTAAGAGCAGCATGTCCTTCAACTGACAATGACTGTGAAAACCTTTCAGATGGCTCTGTGCCCTCAAATTTTACTTTTCTTACTGCAGTGGCAGACTCATCTTCTCAGTAAGGGATGCTGGAGAAAGCGTTCACCTGCATTCAGTCCTTACCTACATTCTCACAAAATCTTGACCAAACAGACCAGATGGAATGCAAATTCTCAGAGCTTTATATCAAGACACTGTTTTGTCCACACCTCTTTCTTTCCCAGCAGTCGACCAAATAACCCCCCGTCCACACTCCCTCACAGCTTCCAACTCTCCAAACAACAAGAGTTTTGTTTTGGAATCGTGATTAGGATGTACACAAACATACAACTTTGAGGCCTTCATATTCTGCTGTGAACGTGGTTCAAGACGATTACTCCCGGGGTTCTGGACATCTGTGTCCTTTGTGATCCTTGTCTAGTCAACAAGGCAAACCCCACACAGGGCCGGGCCATCCAAACCCTCGGCTCTAGCAGCTCCCTCGAGTAAACAACAGCCCCAGGCAGAGAAGACTCCTCTCCTTCGGGTGAGAGCGTACATTCCTCACATCCCTCCACCTCCTGCACCTTCCAGGCTCTCCCACTGGAAAATTCTGACCCTAAGAAAGTCGCCATCGCCTCCGCCCCTTCCCCTGACCACACGAGGCCAAT